AATATAGCCGGGCGTTGTGGTGGGCAGCCATAGTCCCAGCTACCTGTGAGGCTGAGGCAAGAGGATCACTTGAACCCAAGAGTTTGAAGTTGCTGTGAGGTTGACCAAGTGAGACTCTGTCTCAAAAAAAAAGGATGACCAAAGTTTCTACTAAAGTTACACACAGGGGAGACTCTAAGTGCTGGAGGCCAAGGCGGGGAACAGGGAAGTCTGAATGTATCTGGTGTGTCCAGGGAGTGGTCCTGACCCCTGTCTGCGTGGGGAAGAAAGACAAACCTGGGGAGGGAGAGCAGGAACTATGGATACTAGGCCACCTTCAAATCTTAAAGGCTGTCGTGAGTGCTACAAAGAGGAGAACAGGCAGTGCCTGTGGCTCAAGGAATAGGACACCGGCCCCATACACAGAGTGGCAGGTTCAAGCCTGGCCCTGACCAAAACTACAAAAAAAAAAGAGGAGAACAAAGACTGCTGTGTGGGACTTATAAGAAGACGCACTATGACACCACATTCTAAACACTGAAAGGAGAGAAAATAAGTCTGAAGACCTTCTGGCTACCCTGACTCCAAGCATTTTCCTCCTTCAAATGACTAGGTAGACCTGGATTATAAACACCACACAAAATAAATCACATAATGTCTTAATCTCACTCAGGTATATTCGTCCTGGACTTGACAGCTCGGTCTCCATGCCAGCCCCAGCTGAGGAAAAGGCTCGGCCACACTTACTGACTTGTGGAGGAGGTGTAACTCCCTGGGTCCTCCACCAATGCCAAAACCACCCACATTTTGGCTGCCTGAAGAGCCACCCATCACCCCCAGTAGGCTTCTGCAAGTGTGATCAGATGTCTGTCTCCAAGGTTGCCTGCCTGTGGGTCTCTCTCTCCCTTCCTCTCTCAAAGTTGTGATTGATCACCCTGAACTTCCTCCTCCAAGTGTCTGAAAACCTCCTTATGCTGGCCACCTCCAAGTGGATCTCAGTTGCTGTTTTTCTCTCTCAGGTCCCCTTAACTTCAAAAAGTAGAGATCATATCATTAGTTAACAAGTACTTACTGGGCGCCTACCAGGTACACAGGGATACAAAATGAACAAGATGATCCTTGATCTCAGGGGCCTCAGAGTACTCAGTTGGGAAAGGCACATAGATAAACCTATGTGACCACTGCTAGGAAAGAGGTAAGGATGGCTACTGTGGGAAAACAAATGGGAGATGCCTAGCCCAGAGGGCAGTGGGGGCGAAGGAGGGTTCCCCAGGAGAGAGGACTCACCAGGCTGCCTCCGAGAAGGAAGAGTAGGGGCTAGCCTAGAGAATGGGGTGAGGGGAGGGAGAAGCCAAGAGAGCAGCGTATGGATGGAAATAACCTGGAGACCAAGAGAGTAGGAGTCAATGGGCAACTGTGTGTAGTTCATTGAGGCCATGTTCAGGTGTCAGAGGTAGCCCCTAGCATGCATCACAAGGGACCTTGTAGGCATTGCTGGGGTGATAGGACTTGATAGAGGCAGTGATCTCCATCAAGTCCTACCTCTGGGTGCTTAGTTTTCTGCCTCTGACCCCAGGGCACTGACCCAGCTTAGTGCTATGTACCTGCACACATCCCTAGACACTCCTCCCTGAGTCACTGTAAAGTACAAGTCACAAGGGCACACCCCAACCTGGCTTGAGCCCCACGCACACCCTTATTCTGTCTTTTACGTCACCAAATTTTCCCCGTGTAATTGTGCAAAGAACCCTGAGGTTTCAGGTCAGGATCTTCCTATAAACCCCAAATTCCTACTCAGGAGGACTTATAACCTTGTGGGCTGTACCATATGGAAGAAATAGATGCACAAATGTAAACAAGTGGAAAACAAGTTAAAATCACATCCCAGGTCAGGTGTGACTATTCAAAACTGGAAGGATCAAGTTTCAAAGCCCAGAAGTACTATCATAAGTCACTAGGAATGCCCCAAAGCTGAAGAGCACCAATCAGTGAGCCTGAGTGCTTACAAGTAAAGGAGCTGCGAAAGGAAGACCATGTTAACCCACTGAGTGATTACCCCTGAGGAGTGGAAATAATTAAGTACACACCCCAAGAAATGTAAAATCAGTATAAAAGCAGCATTGTACTTCTCAACAGCAACACTGGAATTTGAGACATTAAAGCAACGTATTCAAAATCCTGAATAAAAATAATTTATAATCTAGAATTGTGTATCTAGCTAACAGTATCATCCAAAGGTAAAAGTAGAATAATTACATTTTTAGACATGAAACGTTAAAAAATATTTAATTCCCCTGGACTTTTTCATAGGGAGCTACTTAAGAAGAATATGTTCCCTAGAATGCAAGGCAACACTAGCTACCACTGAAGAAAACCCTAGGATGCTGGAGAAAGGAACTCCCGAAACAGTAGCCATGCAGTCATGCTAAAAAGAAGCTTCCCAAAAAAGGAACTGGGGACCAAATGGCTCAAAGAGAAAAAAATATACATCTATTACCTACAGACATGAACATACAAATTTACACACACGGGCATATGATGGATTTTCTGATGGGTTTGATTGCGTAAAGATTATACTGAAAGTATTTTATCATTATTTTAGAGAAACTCAGAGGAAATGTGATAGATACATAACAAAGTAAGTAAACAAAAACAAGGACAGTTATTAACTCCAAGGAAAACAAAAAAAGAAATTGTATACTAATTGACTCAAAGATGACTAATAAATACACTTTCACTAGCAAAAACATTAAATAATGATTTAGCTAGATTATAATATTAGAAAGATGAGAAACAAGGATGACAGCTCCCTTGACAGAAAATAGTCATGTATTATTTGGAAATACAGATGTAAATACTAGCAGAAACAGCTCAAATAGTTGAAAGTGTTAGCTGGGCGTTGTTTCGGCTGCCTGTAGCCCCAGCTACTGAGAGGCTGAGGCAAGAGAATCGTTTAAGCCCTGAAGTTTGAGGTTGCGGAGTTTGAGGTTGCCATGAGGTGTCACAGCACCTACCGAGGGTTACATGTTAAACTCTGTCTCAAAAAAAAAAAAAAAAAAAAAGATTATCAAATAGTTGAAAATGGTTGCCTATGGAGAATCAGAAATGGAGATAGGTAGGAAATGGGGCTGCTATTTCACTATTAGCGTTGAAATACTTTTGTAAATAAACTTTTTAGAAAGTTAACTGTGTATCTATACTATATTTTAATAGGTAATGTACCTAAACTATTTATTTAATATATATTTATCCTCCAGCTTCACCACTTAATAACTGAGTGACCATGGCAACTCTTTATCCTCTCTGTGGCCTAATTTCTTTACCTGTAAAATGGATAATTCCTATCTTATGAGGATTAAAAGATATATGTAAAGTGCCTAGTAGGGAGCCTGGAGCTTAGGAGGTATCATATTTTGCGATGTAAAATGCACTCCATGTTTTTGCCCCAAACTTTTGGAAAAAATCCCTTGAGAAAATGGTCAGCTCTCCCTGAGAGAGACACATCTGGTGAGGGCTAATGCTTCCCTGGTAAATGTGAAAATTACACTGCCCTTCTGGAACTTCCTGCTCTGTGAAGGCTGTTCCTTCCTTCTTTTCTAGGAGCCCTTTCCTCCCACCCCAAGTCAGGGGCAAGTGAGAGGGCCACATGGGTGGCCAGTGGGGCAGGAGCTTCTGTGGTCACTGGCCTGCAGGCAGTCAGGCCCATCCCTAGAGCCTGTGCAGGACTCCTAGTCTCCTCCATGGAAATAGGCTTTGGTCCTGGCCATGGCTTGCCTTGTTAGCACTGCCACTGTCCCCTCCCATGATGACCAGCTAGGCAGAAGAAGCTCAAGGTTGCTCCCACCAGCTTGAACCCTTCTGGACTGGAACCTGGTGAGCCTGGCCAGGAACAAGAGGAGGGCAATGGCACCCTGCTACCCAGCGGTACTACCCAAGTACAAGGCACATCCTCATTTTTCACTCAAAAATTTGGGCAAAAAGCTGGGCATTGTGGTGGGTGACCATAGTTCCAGCTACTTGAGAGGCTGAGGCAGGAGAATCGCCTAAGCTCAGGAGTTGGAGGTTGCTGTGAGCTATGATGCTACAGCACTCAACTGAGGGTGATAAAGTGAGACTCTGTCTCTAAAAAAAAATATGGGCAAAAAAAGTGCCTTATACATGGCAAAATACTGGGTACTCAATAAATGGCAGACATTTCATTTTTTAAAAGAGATCAAAAAGAGGCCTAAAAAGCATACTTTTTTTGAAGTCCTGAATACAGGCTTTCCATATTATTTCCGCCTCTGATCATTGGAGCACACTCTTATTTAATAGAGGCATGACTGCATTCATGACGTGTAGAAGAGGGACGTAATTTTCATAACAGAAACCAAAAACTAGTTTAATGGTTGGCAATTTAGGAGGTACTGTATACTCATTCTTGAAAACAACATTTGCAGAAACAAAACAGTAAAATATTGTCATTTTTGAACTCTACCTTGGGAAATAGGTATTTGCAAAAACTTTGTTCGATTTGTGTGTACCTTTGAAATGAAAAGGATTTGATATTAGGATTTGATACCAGTGACATTAACAAATTTACCAAAAAAGGTGGTTTTTCTTGCGCCTTCTAGTGACAGGGTCCTATAGTCCCTTCCACCCGTGAGGCCCTCACATTTCCCCATTGCGTATCAAAAGGTCAAATAAAAAGATCTCTAAGCCTCGTCCCAAGCATGTGGTGGTGGTGGGGGGGGGGGTCTTTTAAGACAATGTACATACGATTCCGGTTTCCCACCAGACTCCTTACACAGGCTCCACTTCCTTAACCTGCCTCTATTTAAAACTTAGTGTTTCATGTCCGCAGCCATTGCATTGGGTTTTACACTCCCTTTGTAGGGGGCACCCCAGGTAGCCCCGAAGGCCACCCAGGGAGTGATAACTACAACTCCCAGGTTGCCCCAGGGCGGGGGCGCCTACCGGGATTGGCCAGGGGTCGGTGACGCTCAGTGTTTTGGCCCGGACGATCACATGTTTCCTTTGTTGTGAGCTGCGGCCGAGACTGGTGGCTGCAGGAGACGCTGGACTGGAGAGTGCGCTGCGCCGCCGGCCGCTGAGGGACCGCGGGGCCCGCCACTGCTGGCTGCTACCAGCCTTTACCTAGAGGTACCTGGGAATGACAGCTCTGGGACCGATCCAAAGGCGAGAAACCGGCCGGAGCCTGAAACCTCGGGGGCGGAGGGGCTGCAGAGGTCCACACCACTGGGGTGTCTGCGGGAGGGAAGCCAGCGGCGGCCAGCAAGACAGGGGGTCTGAAGCGATACTACAGCTGAGGCTGCAGGGCCCATTTCTGAGGCGAGGGGCCCCCAGAGTTCAACTGAGGGTCTTCCGTCCCGGGTCGGTAACGATAGTCCCGCGGGAAGGCACCACCGCCTCCCGACACTCCTGCCCCGGAACCGCGGCGCGGCCTGCCGAGGGCGGGGTGGCAGGGGTGGCCGCGGGCGTTGGGGGCAGCAGCAGGCGCGGTCACCTCGCCGCCTCGGGGCCGGGGGCAGCTAGGGAACGTGGCTAGGGAGACCAGTCTTGTTTGTTTCCGACGGGCATCGAACTGGGCGCTGCTTTTTATTGCGGGAAGCGCCGCCAGTGTGACGGTCTAAAATCTAGCCTCTGCGTTTGGTGGGGCGACCGTTAGTCCCCGTCGGGAAGGACTGACCCGGTCATGGTGGGATCCAAGGAATGCGGGCCAGAGAAACTCCACTAAAGGGATTGCGAAATGTGCTCGGCATTGTCACCTGACCGTTACCCCCGCCCCCCGCGAGCCTTTGTTTACCACGGTCGCTACACCCGGTCTGCGGCGGCCGTCCCGGGGGAGCCGCGGTGGGCGGGGGCGCGGGCTTTCTGCCCACCTAGTCCCCGCCTCAACTCCCCTCCTTCCTACCACTCCAGGATTTGGTTTCTTAATTTAGTGCCCGGCTTGCTGGCCCCAGAGTTCTGGACACCCCAGGCGAAGACTGTTAACGCCGCCGGGATTGGGCGCCTGCGGCGGCTTGTGGGCGGAACCCGACGGGCCCGTTCCGAATTTTTATTGGCAGATGTCTTGTCACTAGGTGGGCCTGGCCTGGCAGTTCTCCCCGCCCCCTTGAAGGTGATCTGGAGGACGCGCGGGAGCGCGCACTCTGGACCCTGGTCTGGCTGTCCCTGCAGTGGGGTTGTACCGCGCGCTGCCCCCTCGGCCGCTGGCGGCGGGCAGCCTCCCGGCCCCCCACGGATAATGTTGGAGTAGATAGGACGCTCTGGGCGCGCAGCGGTCAGCAGCCACGGCCAGTCCTCCGTGCACCGGAAGATTTGCACTCTTTAAATGGTATGGCGTTTGCTGACTGGGTGGCGCGGAGGAAGTCCTGCGAATTTGTTCTTGCCAATTCTGTAAACAAGGTTTACATAGCTAAATATAGACCATAATCCTCCTTTTCAGGGGACCTCACTGTTGCCCCAGAGGCTGTGACTATTCATACATTTTTTTCAGTGGATTTTAATCATTTGCTCTTGTGAGCAGTTTTTCTTTAAAGCATGTCTTAGTGTTTGTAGCTACGTACTGTTTAAGTCCACCAGCTAAAAGATTGGTTTTTATTGCCCTCTATCTCACGCTCGCCTATGTATTAATCGCCATGATAATTACAGTTTTTGAGAAGTGAATTGCAGGTGTATTGAAGTTAAGATGATAGATAAAACCTGCAAGACAAATCATTTTTAGCCATGGTTTGTTGCACATGGTTTTCCTAATCTCTTGAATTAACAGGGTACTTGGGTTTTATCAGATTTCTTTTTTTTTCTGTGTCTGTAGCAAGATGGAGCTGCCCTGGGTGAAGCAGGAATTGACTATGAATGATTGTTATTGACTATACGTTCTTAGTGTGTTTTTAAAATTCACGTGGAGATGGCTACCCCAGAATTAGCTGGACCTGGAATTGGAGACTTGAAAGCATTTTGCTGTACCTAAATAAGTATAAATGCGTAACAAATCTTTTTAAAAAAATAAAACCATGGCTCGGCGCCTATGGTTCAAGCGGCTAAGGCGTCAGCCACATACATCTAAGGTGGCGGGTTCGAATCCAGTCCAGGCTCACCAAACAACAATGATGGTTGCAACCAAAAAAATAGCTGGGCGTTGTGGCGGGCGCCTGTGGTCCCAGCTCCTTGGAAGGCTGAGGCAGGAGACTCGCTTGAGCCCAGGAGTTGGAGGTTGCT